TGCAATCGATCTCATTTTCTCATTCTCTAATGTTCAAGGAAGAATTTTCAACGAGACTTGAACTAATTTATTTGATAGATTCTTTGTAAATTGAGAATTCCAAAAAGGTACCCGGGTTTACCCCACTCTCCCCTACACTCTATTAAAGGCGATTAAATTTTTTTTTAAATTTCATACATGAACATGAATTTGAAATTCATGTTCAATATAACATTATAAAAATGATCTTTTTCACATTATGAATAATTATGGGTGCTCCGCTTCGCGTAAAATCCCGAGGCGAAATTTAAGCCCTAATTTACAAGGAGTAAAGTAGGGTTAAACAGACCCTCTTTAGCTTCCTCAACTAGTCGCAAATTTCCCTTTCTTCCACGTTTGGATTCAAAGTAGGGTATAAAAATTGATTAAAATATTGAAAATTTTGAAATTGCTCTAATTCTATTAATTTTTTGAAAACGCTTCAAAATATGTTAATTCCAGTTTTTAAAGGGTAATTAAAGAAATATTGTGTGAAGAAAAAATTCATTTTGCTTTAATCAAAATAATTAAAAGAGTTTTTTTTTTGCATTTTTTTGTACTTTTTTAATCGAACTAGACCCTCTTTAGCTTCCTCAACCAGTCGCAAATTTACCTTTCTTCCACGTTTGGATTCAAAGGAGGGCCTACGGGAGTCTACAAGATCGTAAAGAGGGCCTATTTAGGTTTTAAGGGAAGCTAAAGAGGATTCAAATTTCGCCTCGGGATACCTCAAAAATCTATTGAGCTGAAGAACGTAACGTTAATTGTTTAACGGTTACAAAAACCAATTTATTAAAGTTTGTTCAAATTTTAATCATTACCAATCGAAAGAGCATAAAAAAATGTTTCAGAATCCATGAGTTTTATTCCAAATTTGATGTCGGAAAGATATGAAAAATCTAAATTTAATAAGCACCCGATAACGCAATCCTTAACGTTTGAGAAAGGTTAAATTAATTTTGATTTTTCATATCTTTCTGACATCAAATTTGGAATAAAACTCATGGATTCTAACACATTTTTTTATGCTCTTTCGATTGGTAATGATTAAAATTTGAACAAACTTTAATAAATTGGTTTTTGTAACCGTTAAACAATTAACGTTACGTTCTTCAGCTCAATAAAAATCTTTCTTTTATAAGAGAATGTCGTCCTCACGTTTATTCTTAAAACAAAATTTAAAAAAACGTCAAATTGTCAAATCTCATAATTTCAGATGAAAAAAATATCATTATTGACAACGTGAAATTTAAAAAGCAAGAATCAATTTTTGTTTACATTTTGATTCATTGTTTTGTTTTTAAAATAATTTTCTGTTGACTTTCAATTATTCTTGTAAAGTATAAAAATTTGTTTCTAAATTGAAATTCTATGAAATAATAATATTATAATGAATTTCCAGAGTAAAATTCAATTCAATAACTATAAAAAAAAGGTGAAATAAGAGAACCCGGTCATTCCTAGAAGTCATTTAACCCGTAAGTTTAAAAAAAACTTTAAATTATATGACATGAATGGAAAGTACATGAAGAATAAAATTATATCTACACATTGAAGTTTCTCTTGTTTTTTAAGCGACAAAAATTTTGTTACTATGAAAATTGAAAAATTTAGAAAATAAATATTTGAATTGGAAATACTATTTAATAAAATTTCGATTTAACTTGACATTATTATTAATTAAACACCTATAATTTTAAAAAGAAACATCTTTTTATTTTTATGTTAAATATAATACATGTCAAGAAAAATTAAATTGTTTACTCAATTAAAATAATTTATATTATACATTTAAAAAAGTTTTACTAACCTATAAATTAATTTTTGGTATTTATGATTAATTCTTGTTCACTATTATAATCACGCAATTTCTATTAAAATGCAGGTCAACTTAGATTTAAATAAAGGAATTCACAATTGATTCAATATTTCCATGTACCAAGTCGCAAAATGACATTCCATAAAGTAACTTTATTATGATAACCACAAAATACTGCACTACTTGAGATTCAGAGAATCTCTGCTCTGCGGTTCACAAGTCTCTCAAGACTTTTCACATTATGTATTACGCACACACTTTGAGATGTAAATTCAAATCTCTGCTCTTATGCATAACTACACTAGTAAGTAAAATCAAAATAGTGATTGGACATTTAGTAAATTTTTAAAGCCGATATTTTCAGTATATGTCGGTATTGTGTAAATTTGCACGAAATTAATTAACGTTTTTACGCTACAATACAGTGACAATATTAAATTAAACTCTCATTTAAGAAAAATTATTTAAATAAAAGTTTTTGATAGAACAGTAATAATAATAATTTATCTTATTTAGTTTAGTACTTAACAAGAATCACGAAATATTTAATTAATTTATAGGAAATATATATCAAACTTTATTGTATTTATCGTTTAATACATTTCTGAAAATAAAAATTTTTTAAATGAAAAACAAATTAATGAACAATATGGACATAATGTATGAAACATTACATTTTTCTTGGAAAAAAAGATATTCTTAATGAATAACTTTGTTTATATCAATAGAGATTAGAGTTGATATCAGGTTTACATACTTCAAAATTTTTATTTTGTTTTTCGGTACCATCAGCATGTATGAGAACCAGAGATGGGTAATAGTGCTTTTCTACGTATAATACATAAATAACGTATTATACGTATAATACACTGTAAAAAAAATTTCCTGTAAATTTACTACTTTCAGAGTAGTACCTAATATTATCTTCTTTTAAAGCAGTGATTTTACTTAATTATATGTGGCAATATATATAAAAAATAACAATATTTATCAAGTTTTAAATAATAACAATATATGTATATTTAACAACATTTAAACATAAAGAAATGAAATTATTATTTAATTTTTAACTTGTAATTTATGTAGAAATGAATTAAAATTTTAAGATTTAAACAAATGGATAAACGTAAACATTTTTGCACTTATTATTATTTAATCACTATAAATAATATTCTATCGATAATGTTAACCAGTACCTATAAAAATCTATTTATGCTTATAAATTAATTTTTAATAAATTGTTTTGTTACATTTGATGTCATTTCATTTATTAAAACACGGTAATAACAATAAAATAATTATACTGGGGTTGCAATTAAAGGCCTAAGCAGAATAGATTCTTGAACGGGAACGCAATCGTGAACGGAAACGTAAGAATGGGTGAGAGAAGAATAAAGATATTCGCTATCCTTCTCTTAGGCCCTTTCCAGAATGGAGCTAAACGCAACGCAAACGCGACGCATCTCAATGCTAAGGCTGGTTTCACAATAGGCTTGACGCAAGGTAAACGCAGCGTTGACGCGACGCATCCCCATTTGATTAGCATTGGGATGCGTCGCGTCAACGTTACGTTTGCCTTGCGTCGAGCCCATTGTGGAACCAGCCTTACACATTCTTACGTTTCCGTTTACGATTGCGTTCCCGTTCAAGAATCTATTCTGCTTAGGCCTTAAGGCCCTTTCCAGAATGGAGCTAAACGCAACGCAAACGCGACGCATCTCAATGCTAAGCAAATGGGGATGCGTTGCGTTTAGCTCCATTAAGGCCTTTCTCCAATAGGATCCTAAACTCTTGCGTTGCGTATGCATTGCGTCGGTTGCTATTGGCAACCAATGCTAAAATCAACGCGTCAGTCACGCAACGCAAAAGTTTAGGTTCCTATTGGAGAAAGGCCTTTAAGGCCTTTCTCCAATAGGATCCTAAACTCTTGCGTTGCGTATGCATTGCGTCGGTTGCTATTGGCAACCAATGCTAAAATCAACGCGTCAGTCACGCAACGCAAAAGTTTAGGTTCCTATTGGAGAAAGGCCTTTCAAGGCCTTTCTCCAATAGGATCCTAAACTCTTGCGTTGCGTATGCATTGCGTCGGTTGCTATTGGCAACCAATGCTAAAATCAACGCGTCAGTTACGCAACGCAAAAGTTTAGGTTCCTATTGGAGAAAGGCCTTCTGGAGAGGGTCTAAATGTTTGCGTTGCATGACTGACGCGTTGGTTCGCAAGCGCAGTGACGTCATCAAAGCATTGATACCAATCGCGAACAAAAAGTTAGGTTTATGATTTTAAGACACTGATTTCTTTAATTATAATTATTAAATAATTAAAATTATTAAAAGCCGTCGAGAAACATTTGCATTAAAAATTCTAAAGTTGGAAAACAGGGATAAAAGGAACATAAACCAAACTGTTTGTTCGAGATTGGTATCAATGCTTTGATGACGTCACTGCGCTTGCAGACCAACGCAAATATTTAGGAACCTATTGAAGAAAGGCCTAAAGCTGAGTTCAGAATGGGCACGTTACTCGGTACGTTATAACGTTAACGTGTGATGTCACGCATTTGAAATATACGTTATAACGTACCAAGAAGACATAAGCAATTACAAGAAATTGTTTAAATAAAAATTGTTTATGGAATTTTACAAAATTTGAAATTATTGGATATTATACTTGAAACCATAAGTAGCAAGTAAACTTTTTTTTTAAACTGTCCTATCTATATAAAAATTATCATCGTATTTCAAGAAAAAATTTACTATATGTCAAAAACAGTTTTTTTCAATTTTCTTTGTAAATAATGAATCAATGTGGCTAAAATTTTTGGAGATAGTGTGCTGTCATAAGGTTAAGTTTCTTCAAGTAGTTTTTCGAAAAATTAATGTGTCCCATTATTGGTCACTCTCCCCTATACTACTGCTCTAATTAATATAATTTATAAACTATTTATTTGAAACAATTTTTTTTATGGAATACAATCCTTAATACTCTTTCAGCTTTTGTTTATAAAATTGATATTGGTTATCCAGAACACGTTTATTTTTTAATTTGTTCATAATAAACAATTATTTTTAATAACAAATAAAGATTTTCGAAAAGGTAAAAGGTTATATTTATTGAATAAAGATTTTTTAAAATTATTAAAACGTAAGGAAAATTATAACTTACCACTTTGTGAATATTATCAATGGCCACGTTACTTTCAAATTGAAATGGATCAGTAGGTGTATTACGAATATTATTCATAGACGATGTATTTTCTTCCACATCCATTTTCGTTGATAAACTATCAACTGTTGAATATTATTTTCGTTTTTAGAAAGTCATTAAAATATAATTTTTACTTTATATTTTTGACTTACCTGTTTTTTTCCTCTCAATTTGCTTTTCAAATTCCTCAAAATAATTCTTAACAGTAAGACTTATTTCGTCTATCACTCTATTTTTATTTTTATTTTCCACCGTTCCAATTGGTTCAACATTGGAAACTTCTTCAAACTTATTTTCACATACAATTTCCTCATCCCTATATTTGGAATTATTAACATTTTTATTACAATCTTCCACTGTTTTAATTATAGGATTTTTATAAAATTTGAACGGATCATTAATCTCTTGTGTAGACTGAATAATACTTTTCGTAGATTCATTTTTAGTTTGTTGTAGTTGTGGTTCGAAGAAAAGAGTATTTGAGTTGCCGCTTTCCTGTATTAGATTAATTAAACAGTCATAGTCTTCACCTATAAACATAATAAAAATATCTTAACTGAAACCATTTAAGAAGAAGAGATGTAAAAAAAATAATAAATTATAAAAACCTTCGAAATCTGTATCAACAGGGTTTAAAGAATTGTTCAATGCAATTTCAAGAACTCCCTTTGTTTCTTGATTAAGTAGGTAATAAACATTTGGTAGCATTTCTGTTGTACAGATATATTCTCCAATCATTCCAATATTTAAAGAATCCAATAAAAAATCTATTATACCTACAAAAAAATGTTAAAAATATTTTTTGATAAATTTGAAATTGTAATTTAGTAAATAGAAATTTCTCAAATACCTTTATCCGTATTTACAAGACTTAGAGAGGCTGGAATTAAATACTTTGCTTCGTTCCATTTAAGCAGAATATCACTTACTTTAACAAATTCACTTTCTACAATGTACTCATAAAGAAATCTATAAATAAAAGAAATTATTAATTTTTAAAAATTATATATACTATGATTGTAAATGAAATATAAATACCAAGAAATAAATTATTTATCAACTATAATTAAAAATGTAGTTAAAAAAAATACTAACGAAAATAAAAAACTGTGTAATTCCGAAAATTCTCCATTTGATAAATCTGGTTGAGGATAGAAATTATGATTCATATCTACATTTAAATTGCCATATGATCCTAATTCTGGTTTCCACTAAACAAGTTAAACATAAATATTTATAAATATTAAAAGACAAACTGTGACTATAATAAAAATTCAAAAATTTGATATATTAACAGCATCCTCTAGAAATTCTAGTGTAATTTAAAAACAATTTAAAATGTATAATTAGTAAACTTACAGTTTGATTTAATGGCAAGCCGAAGTTATCCTCTCGTAGTTGTATTAATTCAAGTAGATTTGATTCAAGATCAATTCTAAAATAAAATAATGTAATAAAGAAAATAGATTCTAATTATTTGTTTAAATCGATTTTTATAAAGTTAAATTTTTTTTTAATATATAAATAACATAAGCTTTTAGTTTAATAAGTCTTCAAGTGACTTTATACAATAGAAATGTCGAATTTTTTATTTTAAAGGTATTTTACCCTACTCATGGTTAATTTTAATATGAAAATAACAAACCTGCTATAGATAGTATATTCTTTAACTATGTTTGTTTGTGGAGCGACAGAAGACAGTTTTTTCTGTTTTTCAAATCGCTTCTTTGGTTTTGGTTGAATAATCTAAAATATTAAGATATTAATTATTAAATAAAAGAAATTAATCTTATGAAATTTAATTATTTTTAAAAATCTAAGCTTAAATTTTGGTATTTTTCCAAGGCAAATTATTTATATCGTTATCCTGTTCAAAAGATAAACATATAAAAGAGCAATGTCCCGCCACTGCCACTGCATAAGAAATGAACATAAAGGAACCTCTACTTGTTTAAAAATTTAACGCAAAATTATGTATTTTTCGGAGAACAGCGAGATTCCTTGAACCCAAATCTATAATCCCTCAAAATTTTAGACAAAAATCTTTTCTCATTTTAAACACATTTTCCTGTACTAGATCACATGGAACTTTTAATTCCTTAGATTTTAATTTTTTTGGCATGAGTTTGTATATTGACCGTTATTGTTAAACTTATAGAGAAGAACATTTTATTATCTCTAAAAAGTTTTTACAAAAAAAAAAACGAAATAAAAACCCTTACCTGCTTCCGAATAGCACCTTTGGTAACTGGAATGGACTTTACAGGTTGAGTAATGGGCTGAGTAGCTCCTTCAATCACAGTTTTAACTTCAGCATTTTCGTCAATTATTTCTATTCGATCAATAATACTAGGCGTAGAATCATTTTCACAATTAGGAGTAAAACACTTAAAACCTATAACATCCTGTAAATAAAATTAATTGTGATAAACTGAAATTTATGACAAGTTTTTGGGAGCTTATTATCAGGTTACGGTAAGAAGGGAAGAATTAATATTATTATATTTAGAAATTAAAAAGTATTCATATTATTATTTTAAAGATATATAAAAAGATAGGCTTAGAATTCATTTTAACATTAAACTGAATACAAAAAATTTCACTTTAACATTCAAGACTTTAAATTTGTCATAATTTTCTGTCCTTTTCTTTTGTTATATACTGTGTTCTTAATATTTTAATTTAATTTTTAATTTTCTTACCTTATCTGATAATTTTTTAACAGGAGATAAAGTTTCTTTCATAATTTTCCAACAATGTTGATGAAAATTGACTTTACATGGATTTGTAGAGTTATTGCAAACAATTCTCACCATTCCATTAAAACTGGGATCACTGAAATTTATTTATAAAAATAAGTGAATACATTGTTTTTAGTGATGTTGGGTTTGATTGTTATATCATATGAAATATATATGATTTAATTTTAATTAATTTTTAAACTTAAGAAAAGAGACAAAAATAATATGCTTATAAGAAAATACAAGTAAATTACCCAAAAAATATGTTGCGATTTGGAATGGAGGACTCTTGAGTAACATTTTGACATATATTACAAACAGCATCAGGATGATGCCATCCTGAGCACTCTTCTTTCAATGGCATCAAAACATCCTGAATAATTAAAAAATATAAAGAATTATTTAGAAAAATAATTGTTTTTTTAAATAATAAAGACAACGTTATAAAAAAACTACTATTACTATTACTAATAATAATAATAATAATAATAATGATAATAATAATAAAATATTACAATTAAGCCAGAAGTTGTAGATTCACATAATGGAGTTTGTGTTCCAGGTATGTTATAAGTTGTTAAACGCACATCTCTATTAAGTACAGAAAATCCCTTTTTAACAGCTTCATAAGCTGCATCAAATCTACAAGTATAGAAATTATTTTAAATTTCAAAATTCAGAATGTCCATTAAAATTTTCTAAATTAAGATTTTACTACAGAAGGTAATTCAATCCTGAATTTTGAAATTAATTTTTTTTTCATGTTCAAGGTTAGGTGGAAATTGTAAAAATTGTAGAAATGATTTTAAAAAATACCTGTATTGTTTAATGTTTGCTTTTCCTAAAGCATAATATATAGCTGGGAATTTTGAGCCAAAAGATTTTTCTAACGCATGTAAAATTATAATAGCATTATTTAAGTCATCTATATTTTGTGATTCCAAAGCAGCTAAACTAATAATATATTTTATAATGTCCTTGTTAACAGGATCTTCCTATAATTTTCAAAAATAAATTATTTCTTCAATATATATATATTTATATTAAAAACACTATTATTGTGAATAAATGACAAGTATTTTCTAATGAAAAGAGAGCAATAAAGAAAACAATAAGTAAAACTAAACTTCATGTTAGGTACATTTTTATTACCTGAATATGATTACTATCTATTAATTCCAAAGCATTTTTATAGAGGTTACTAGCAACATTAAGTTTTCCTTCGACATATGCTCGCCCAGCATCTTGTAAAATAAATTTATATTTCTGTAAATAAATATGTATTCAGTGAAAAATTGATAAGACAAATTTATTAATATTTATCATTAAAAAGACTAGTGATTTACTGTTTAGGTACAATTATAAAAAAATATCAATCACTACATTCACATTTCTATTTGTTAATACATATAATTTTCTAATATAAACTTTTAAATGCCATTTAATTAAGTGCACTGCTATTAATCTATTTGTTGCAACAAGATTAGCAAGAAATTACTCACTATTTTCTGAAATGTTTCATGGAACAAATTATGGGTATCAATCTTTCATTAATACTGTCAGCAGGGAGGCTAATAAAATTTCGAACTATATATAAATTTTTTTTGTGGAAATAATGTAACAAGTTTCATCTCATTATATTACGAAAATATATACTGGATGTTACATTAACGCCCACGTGTTAAAAATTTTTGTTTGCAATTCAAGGAAAAAATACAAACCTTAAATGATTAGACTTTTGAATGTCCGACTAGTGACATTAAAAAGTCTAATGATAATTTAGGGTTTGTATTCTTACCTTGAATTCTAGACTAAAATTTTGGACATTTGAGCGTTAATGGGTTAAGGGGTATTGTAACTTTTTTGGGTCAAAAAATTAGAATTTATTTTTTTTTGCTTCCTCGTGAAGGAAGCATTGTAATACCGAAATTTTTCGAACTCGATTTTTTGGATGTATCTTTATGTTTATCGACCTCAGGAATCCAAAAATCACACTTATAAAAAATATCGTTGTGTGTGTGTATAAATTGTAGGCCTCACTGGCGGACAAATAATGACAATACTTTGAGCCATATTAATAAAGATTAACTATTATTTTTTTGCATTTAAAAATTTTTGAAAAATCGTTTTTTGCCCATAACTTAAAAAAAATGTATTGACACCAATATGTAGATATTTATCTCTAGTTTTGTAGAAATTTTAAAGACGCATCTTTTGACCTATTAGCGAATATCCTACTGTTATTTCATTCAGAGTTATTAACAACATAGAGAATATTTAAAAACGAATCAATTGACCTATTATTAAACCTTTTACTATAAACTATTATGAAGTTATTGATGTTAAAAATCTATCTCTGCAAACGTTTAAAAAATACAAGTTAACACCTTTTTAAAATTATTATAATACTAAATAATTTACCATAAATTGATCACAAAAATCTCAATGAGGAAGCAAAGTGTTCATGAAATGAAAACAAAAAGTTTATACATACTTCAACTTGGCAAAAGTTTTTATTTTTAATTATCGATCACCAATTTAAATTTTTTGTTCAAATTGTGTGTTTTTGGATAAATTTTTCGAATATTCGATACAAAAATTCCATAACAATAACATTTCTTGACTTTCATAATCATAATAAAATTCTTTACTCAATTATATAATAAAATTTTAGACAAAAAAAATTTTTGATTTGCTTCTATTGATGGCTTAAAAAGTTACAAGACCCCTTAAATTGTTAGTAATCAGTCCAGTATTTAAAAGTACTAATGTACGAAATAGCTTGTCCCGTTTACTATTAATAAATAAATAAATAAATATATTATATACATTGGAGACTTACAGACATTATCACTGATTTTTTATCTTATGTTTCCAAACTAGCTGATCATTTACAATTTAAAGTAAAGATTTTGATATTCTGAAAGAGAATAAAATTATTTATTAGAAAACATAATTTTTAGATACTTTTTCAAAGTGATTGTTTAATAACACTGGGTTACAAAAAATGGTCAAGTCGTGTTTATTTAAAATTTTTTGTGTTTATTGAAAGTTTAGGTTCACTGAATAAGAATATACCCAAAAAAAAATTTTCATTCGGTCAGTTCCGTAAAAAACGAGATTAAAGTGTCAAAAAATCGCTTTTTTAGCACTTTTTGAAGCGTTGTAAAACGAAAACGCAACAAGATAAAAATCTTCACGAGGGCTTGAATGAAAGCTTAAACCTTCAACTTTGAGTCCCAAAACTGAAAAGTGAATGATAATTGCGCAGAAAATTTAATTAACATGAAATAACTATCTCAAATAGTCAAAATAGTTGGGATGGAGAGCACTTGTTAAAAATCGATTTTCATTACCGAATTTATTTGGAACTTGTTACTTGGAAGTTTTTAACGTTTCTATTGACGTTTCGAAAGTTGGATTTAAAAAATTCAAAATGGTGAATTAAAAATGGCGTTCAAATATTTCAAAAAACCCCGAAAAAAAAACTGCGAAAAAATTCACTCCATTTTTGAACGCCATTTTGAATTTTTTAAATCCAACTTTCGAAACGTCAATAGAAACGTTAAAAACTTCCAAGTAACAAGTTCCAAATAAATTCGGTAATGAAAATCGATTTTTAACAAGTGCTCTCCATCCCAACTATTTTGACTATTTGAGATAGTTATTTCATGTTAATTAAATTTTCTGCGCAATTATCATTCACTTTTCAGTTTTGGGACTCAAAGTTGAAGGTTTAAGCTTTCATTCAAGCCCTCGTGAAGATTTTTATCTTGTTGCGTTTTCGTTTTACAACGCTTCAAAAAGTGCTAAAAAAGCGATTTTTTGACACTTTAATCTCGTTTTTTACGGAACTGACCGAATGAAAATTTTTTTTTGGGTATATTCTTATTCAGTGACACCTAAACTTTCAATAAACACAAAAAATTTTAAATAAACACGACTTGACCATTTTTTGTAACCCAGTGATAATACTGTGCTAGTGCAAAATTTGAATAAATTTGTCAACTATTAGATAAACCTAATTCGAGTACGCTGAATTCGATGGCGTTATCCGTTTTTCAAAGTTGTTTTGACCAATAAAAGTTATAATTGATTAAAAATTTGATAACTTGAAATTTTAATTAAAATTTAGATTAAATTGAAATTTGGAAATATAATAATTTAAATCGAATAAAATGTAATTAAATTGAAATTTGAACAGATTCAAATTTGGATAAATTAAATTTTTAATTGATTGTTGATTAGAATTCAGGAATCTTCACGGAATCAAAACAAAATTCAAAAACACTTTTCTTTTGATTCTGATCAGGATATTGGAATCAGAAGTCAAGTTATTGTTAAGTTTTGATTCCAAAATCAGAATCAAAAGTCAACTTTATTTAATTTTTATTTCGAAATCAGAATCAAAAGTCGACACGAAAGTTTGTCAGATTACTTCCGGTCTTCTAACTGAATCAAGTCGATATGTCTTAAATTATTACGTTTTAAGTCTCAAGTTTAGAGTCACATAGCGTCGGATACTATCGGAAACAAAAGTCAACAATGTATACTTTCGTTTTGTTTACCAAACCGAATCAAAAGTTCATTCAACTTTCGTTTCGATTAATAAACCGAATAAAAATTATAATTTTTAATTTCATTTCGTTTTGTCAAAATCTAAAAAAATCAGTACAACTGCAAAAAAATGTTATGCCAATTTAAAAAAAATAATTGTGTTTTTTTATTTTTCAAGCAGAAAAACATATTTTATTGTTAAAGTAATTTACAATATACCATCGGACTGCCTGAATGATTTCGCTGGGTTAGTGGAAAAAAAGGACACGTCTTGGTTAAATCAAACGGACGTGTCCTTTTTTCCCACTAACCCAGCGATTTGATATCCGGTCATTAGCATCTTATATAAAAATATCGATTTTCTATTGTTTATTTCAGTTAAGACAAACTTCTCACAAATGAAAAGTAAGTAGTCTTTGATTTATTGATAAGTTATTCAGGTAATGACAAAGATTTATGTGACTTTACTAAATAATAATTTATAATTTTTTAAAGTAAAATTAAAAAAAACTATAGTGTTGTTAGTGCCCTTTGTTAACAAATTTGTGTTTTAAATAACCTGAAAAGGTTAATATTGCCATTGGACTTTAACATCAAATTTATTATTCATTTCCTTACCAGGATTGAATTCTCATCTTATTAAAATAGTTATTACAAAATCAAATGTGCAAGAAGTTTTGTTTTAGTTAAAAAAAATCAACGTAAAAATTTTGTGTTTTCTTAGAAACATAAACAAAAGATAAATAGTTTTGTTTCAATTACGACTACGGTAATGTTTACATTTATATAATTAACGATTAAAAAAAGAAAAATATTTTTCACACGGAAAATAATAAAATTTTATTTTCGAGTCATTCCATTATATTTCGAACAATGTCGTTGCCGACTAATTTTTAAAAATTATGATACTTTGCAGGGATGATCTTGAAGTTATAAAGATCACGAAATGAAAAGATTTTTACTAAAATTTTTATTATTTACTTTAAAATATGAATTTAAAGTGTACGAGGTGCTGAAAATTGACAGTTTTTCAGCCAGCAGAAAATATTCGAAAAAACCTATAATTTACCATAAAAGTGTGAAAATTATTATTGCAATTTATTAAGAATGACTAAATTTACTTTTATAAATTGATTTAAGCATTTAAAGATATGAAATAATAGGAAAAACATGATTTTCAATTTCATCTTAAAAATAACCTAATTTTGCTATTTTTATCGATTAATTATGAGAAAGGGTAAATATTAAATTAAAAAAAAACTTACCAAATATCAAGTCATTGCTAATAACTTTTAGATTTTCTTTGTACTTTTTAATTTTTCTCTTTATTTATATAAAAATTTTGAAAAAGAAAATTGCCACTTTGCTAATTTTTGCGATTTTTGAAACTGAATAACTTGTTTACAGTAAAACGGAAAAATCTGGGATTTTGGGAGTATTTAAATATACACTATATAAACACACTCCAAAAATCTTGCGTTGGTTTTTGAGCTATTTTGTAAGATAAAGCAGATCGAAATTTCATTACTTTTGAGGCTATATTGACAATAATTTGTTCTTAACTTGAAGTTGGCTCGCAAGTGTCGAGTCTTGTAATAAATTCATATTTGTTTATATTAAATGACAACACTTGCGAGCCAACTTCAAGTTAAGAACAAATTATTGTCAATATAGCCTCAAAAGTAATGAAATTTCGATCTGCTTTATCTTACAAAATAGCTCAAAAACCAACGCAAGATTTTTGGAGTGTGTTTATATAGTGTATATTTAAATACTCCCAAAATCCCAGATTTTTCCGTTTTACTGTAAACAAGTTATTCAGTTTCAAAAATCGCAAAAATTAGCAAAGTGGCAATTTTCTTTTTCAAAATTTTTATATAAATAAAGAGAAAAATTAAAAAGTACAAAGAAAATCTAAAAGTTATTAGCAATGACTTGATATTTGGTAAGTTTTTTTTTAATTTAATATTTACCCTTTCTCATAATTAATCGATAAAAATAGCAAAATTAGGTTATTTTTAAGATGAAATTGAAAATCATGTTTTTCCTATTATTTCATATCTTTAAATGCTTAAATCAATTTATAAAAGTAAATTTAGTCATTCTTAATAAATTGCAATAATAATTTTCACACTTTTATGGTAAATTATAGGTTTTTTCGAATATTTTCTGCTGGCTGAAAAACTGTCAATTTTCAGCACCTCGTACACTTTAAATTCATATTTTAAAGTAAATAATAAAAATTTTAGTAAAAATCTTTTCATTTCGTGATCTTTATAACTTCAAGATCATCCCTGCAAAGTATCATAATTTTTAAAAATTAGTCGGCAACGACATTGTTCGAAATATAATGGAATGACTCGAAAATAAAATTTTCTTTCAATAACTATTAATCAAGAAACGTTACAAAAAATTATAATAATTTGTATTGAAAAAAAAAACTTTCTTCTTCTAAATCGTTAATCACAAATGTTTTGAATATCATGGAGGTTGGGCTAAAAAAGGAAAATTGAACTAGGATTTTTTTTCTATTGTGAGGAACAAAATTAAACGAAAGTAGTAAATCCGGCTTTTTTCAATGATGAAAGTATGAAAATTGTTAAATTATTATAATTATTATAATATACTATAAAATATATTTAATAATAATAATAATAATACGGATAATAGGTGTACAATATAATCAATAATATAAGAAATTGAAAGTAACACAAAACACTAAAAAAACTAATCTATAAACAGTATAGAATTGTTAAAATAATTATTATGATTTTATTTTAGTTATTTATTTTCATTTTCTTTAAAATATAAGTAACTGAAAAAATAATTTATTTTAATTATGAAAAATGACGTCAAAGTAGAAAACTATTTTTAAACTTTTAAAAATTACTTGAAAAGTTTGAAACTTGAATCAAAATCTACCTACTATAAAGGAAACGTAGAAATATATACGTTTTTTTAAGACTATGTTGATTAAATTTTAAATTATTTATTTTCTCCGGCTTCTGTTTCTAATTTCAATAGTATATGAACGAAATGTTTTTAAGATTATTTATCCCTCTAGAAAAACCTTTAGTCACTTCGTAATAAAATAGTTTTTAAACATAATTAAATGTATTATAAACACTGATAATCTTAAACTAACGACTAAGAGAGGAATCCTCCTTTTAAAATAAGAGACATTAGTAAAGGTACTTGTACAATAACATGTACTTGCTCACCATTTCCTTGGCATTTGCTCTGCATGTAAAGTAATTATTTAAATTAATTAATGAACTACCAATTAATTCAAGTTAAACAATTAGTAGTCAATTAATTAATTGTGAAAGAGACAAAAAGATATCACTTTCTCTGTCCCTCTCATGGTTAACGCTTTCAGACCTGAACAGAATAGAAACGTAATCGAAATCGTAATCGCAAACGCAATCGGAAGAATGAGTTAGAGAAGGATAGACATATTGTTTGTCCTTCTCTAACTCATTATTCCGGTTGCGTTTGCGATTACGATTTCGATTACGTTTCTATTCTGCGTTGACCTTTCCGCAGACCTTTCCGTCTCGTTCTAAAAAATCGTCTTTAAGGCGCTTGTACACCTCACAAATTTTAAGTATACTCGGAATTTGTCAAAAGTTATACTAATTTTGATTGGCCTTGCTCATAAGGAATTTCCAAAAGATTGGAAAATTTCGATATTCTCTATGAGCAAAGGTAATTAAAGTTAGTGAAATTTCTGACAAATTCCGAATATACTCAGAAATTGTGAGGTGTACAAGCGCCTTTAATAGAGCAATTACACCTTCGATAAAAAATTTTCTTCACTATGCATTTTCCGAAATATACATACCCGATTGGTTGTCCAAAATCTGATTTATTGTGGACAACCAATTAGGTAAGTGTATTTCGGAAAATGCAAAGTGAAGAAAAATTTTTACCAAAGGTGTAAATGCTCCATAAAACGATGCGATTTAGCTATTGTGGAAGCAGCCTAAAGGGTGACAATTCGGACGTTCCAGGATCTTTACGTAAATTAGATATTTACATATTATACGTAAAAAACTGCGAGTTACACTACACGCGTAACTTTACATCCCTTCCCAACCCTTCCATGCTCCCATTCTTAATTTCAAAATATTGAATTTAAGTTAATTTTCAAATTTTTTAATTAATGAAAATAATAATTTACCTTCTAATATAATTTCCAACTTGAATAATATATATTATATAATAAATTTTAAATAATCAATTCAATTTTTATGCAATTAATTTGTAATTTATTTATAATTTAAAAATTTTATTTAATGAAATTACTATTTTGAAAAATTAAAAAATTAAAATTATTAGAGTTATTTTGTAATTCATTTGTCATGGGAAGAGTAATAATAATTTTGATATTATCTTTTTAATAAAAAATGAACAAAAACGCAATATATTAACTTATATTGAAATGAGTAATTTTTCATTTCAATCTGTTGATTTAAAACTATCAATTGGGAACGGTGGTCTAGTAACAATCTAGTAACTTTGACCCATTCTCTCCCTCCATTTTGTTTTTTCTACTCTTTCTAACCTATTAATTGAAGAGAGACAAAGAAAGAAAATGGAGGGAGAGAATGGGTCCCCACCAGATGGCGTATTGCAGTTTAGCCGATCCCAATTAATCTAAATAATTTTGACGTGTTCAGAAACAAATAAGCTGATAAATTCAAATAATAGCGCTCATTTTTCATTTATGAAAGAAGCGACTGCAGCTCCACCTATACATTTCTAATCTTGATATACGTTTCGCCTTTCTATTAAGATTTCACAATCTCAATGCTCATTCCTTATTTCGATATTTTTCGAGTTCCTTATTTCGAGATTTATCGAGTTCAGTGCAACACTGTTTTTTTAAAGAAAGGACAACAAATAAGACAATAACCGCAAATTAAGAAATATATTGAGTTTTAATTTTTGCAAATTGTTTGTATCAGAGGCTTTTAGAAATAAATTTTTTTTATTAATTTTGGAAACAAAATATGGATACAGTTCCTAAAGGACTCCGAAGCTTAAGAGCATGTTTAGGATGTTCATTAATTAAGGTATATTAAACTCTTTCATAATAATTGTAAATATTTTTCTGAGAAACATTTTTTAAAAACACTTATAATTTAAAATACTCCAGTTAGAGAGAAATATTTCTAAAATTTTATCATTCTTAAATAGTTAAATACCTTTTATGTTATTTTGTAAAATATAACCTCAAAAGGATGTGACTATATACCTAAACACTAATTTTGAAATTGAGTTTTAAGCAGAGATGATTATTTTAACTGTTATTGTTAAAAAAGCCCTGACTGAAATAATAATGTAGAAAATAAAAATATCTTTTTATTGATAATTTTGCAGAATAGTATAATTTATTTCTCTTAATTAAGTATTGTATAAAAAAATTATATATGTAATATTTGATTTTTCAACTTATTGGCAAAATGACAATGTTCAACAAATTATAAAACCGCTGCCAAGTTGAAGTATTAATTTTTTGTGTTCATTTCATGAAAACTTTAATTCGTCATGGAGATAATTTAATAAAAAAATTAATAAACTTTTTTAAAACATTTTTTAAAAATGTAATTTTTGGATTTCTAAGGTCGATAAACATAAAGATATATCAAAAAATCAAATTTGAAAAATTTTGGTATTGCAATACTTCCCCCATGAGGAAGCAATTAAACACTTTAATATCAAGTTTATAACTATATTCTTTAAATTATATACTGCTTAACATTAAATAGTTTTAATTTATTTTAATATTAAAAGGCAAATAATTTTGTGAATCTGAAATTAGTTTAATCATTTGCATCTTCATTAACCTAATTTCAAATTTATTTAAGGGGAAGATATAGTTTTTTTTATATATACTTTATAAAAAACCAGAGTGTCTAACGGTCAGGGAAGTCAGGAAATTTCTTTAATTTTCTGGAATTTTTTATGAATAAATTAAAGTAACTATTAGTTTCAAAAATTTTTTTACTTTTTTCCCAAAGCAAATGCAAATTAAAAAATTGGCCTCCACACTCAATTATTAAACATGTGATATATCTTATATTCATTAAGTAAATAATTATTTACTACTATTTATTGAATCTAATAAATGATTTTTTAAACTTGGATAACAATTAATTAATATTTTTCAGTGAAATATTTGCTTTTTTAATATAAATAAAAATTATTTGATACAATTTTATTTTATCGGTTCAACTACAAATAAAGTAAATTATTCATTAATACGGATAATTTATTATTTAATGCTATTACCCACATTTAACTTATAGAAATTTGCACGGCGTCGAATATTAAATTATCGAATTTCTATTTAGCAAAATTGTATAAAGTGGATTTTATATTATGCAAAATTTTCATATCGAAGAATTTACATTCAACTAAATTCGATTTAAAAGAATTTCTATTTAGCAGAACTCTTATAAAGCATTTTTTCTAATACTTTTTTAAATTTTTAATTAATATAATTTCAATTTAACCAAATTTATGTCTATAAAAATGACAAAAAAAGAACTAGGTAGAATTTTTCTTATATGAGAATTCTGTTAAATAAGAATTGGTACGAATTAAAATTTTCTTTAATAAAAACTTTTTTAACTAAGAATTTTGTTAAATAAAAATTCTGTTAATTGTGGGTTTATTCAATGACAATTCTGTTAAGTAAATATTTTGATAAATAGAAATTTATTAAAATAACAGGTAAATGATTTAATTGTATCAAAATAAAATTTTTTTTATGTAATTCAGGTCCGGGAAAAGTCAGGGAATTTTTTTTTAGCAGTTAGACACCCTGAAAACAATACAAATTTTTTCAGTAATAAGATCTATAAAATTGTCCATTTTCCAAAATATATTCTTAATACAACTAATTTCAGTTTCGCAAAGAGATTTGCTTTCTAATCTTAGAATTCGTTTTTAATAACAGTTTTTTAACGTATTACTTTCATAGTTTAATTTTATCTTTAATTTAATCCACTAAAAATTTATTGAGAGTTTTTAAAATAACCCTTTTTTGCTAACGCACGGATAATGCAAAATACATTTGTTATAGCCACATTCTTTAATTTTTCTTTTTATTTTGCGTTTTTATTAATTCTCAAAAAATATAACATGTTGAGAGTCATCAAGAATTTTTAAGTGGACTGCATTCCTCGATTTTACAACTTTAATTGACGGTTTAGTTTTAATGCAAAAAATATTTTTAATGGCTGTTAAATTTATGAAGATATTTTTTTTAGACAGTAGATCAATTTGAACTTGATGGCTGTGAAAACTGCAACTTATTTCTTAGAATTAAAAATGACAGAGATGCAGTTATGAGATGCACAAGTGGAAACTTTGATGGGTAAGAATTTAATAAAATAATTTTTAAAATGTGTTTCAAAATAATATTCTTCTTTTAATGCAATATAAATTGTTAATTAAAAACAAATTTAATAAAATTTAATTGTTTTCAAATTAATCAGGATGTTTAGCCATCAGGAAAGTCAGGAAAATTTTTTAGTCAGGGAATGTCAGGGAATTTAATTAAAAGTTAGGGAACTTTTTAAAAATTTGCCGAAAATGAACATTTTTATGAAATTTTTAAATTTTTCTGTACAAGACAAAGTTTATAATGCTAATAAATAAAATGTTTTAAAAATATTTTAATATTTGATACTTTACATTCTTTTAATATTAAATAATTAATATTAATATCTTTCTAATTAAAGAAAAGTGGGAAGAAGGTTAGGAAAAAGTCTGGGAATTTTTTTTGTACTTCTTGCTGGACACACTGCAGAAAATATTATAAATAAACATCAAAGTTGATGAAATTTGGTTCTTTGGTGCTCGTTACTTTCCTCTACATTTTCGAGGACAAAGTTGTTATTAAAAAAAAGTATAAAAAATACCTGAGGGATTCTTCCTCAATCGCCCAAACCGAAAAGTGAAGGTTATGGGATTGGCTTGATACTTTAGTATATTGTTGTCCTATATGAAAGTAATAAATCCCTAAAATATAAACTCATTAAAAAAATTTATAGATAGTAGTGAAGGTTTAGTTTTTGTCATTTTTAAGTACGTATAACTATGAGAAAACTTAATGGATTTTAATTTATATAGGGTGACTGCCCCAGTGAATGAACATGCACCAATAAATGAACATTCGTCTGAAAAGTACATATAACTAAGGCTAAAAATTATTATTTAATAAAAGAATAGTACATTAATTATTTAAAAGGTTCTTTTTATTAAAGAACATAAAAATTATGAAAAATCATTTTAAAATAATTTTACAATAAAATAAATTTTAAAGGAACACCCGATTTTGCGATCTAGAATAAGAATAATAATTAGATTACAGAGAGCGCACTCAAAATTAAAATATTTTTTAAAAATATAATTTTTTCATAAAATATATAAAATAGGGTATCATTAAATATATATACTTTTTATACTTTTTTTTAATAACTGAAGGACATATTTCTGATCTACCAGCAAATTTTTATATACTTATGCGATTACGCATGTCAATTTTAAATATGTTACCAATTTTATTCTATTATATATAGTTATAAACAATTGAAGTTTTTTGTAGTCTTAAGTTAAAAAATGAATATCTTAGAACTAAGTGAACGGATCTTTATAAAAATTGGTATACACACCCAGAAAATGATACTATTTTTATTGAAAATTTTTCATTTTTAATAATTGTTATTGCAAAATTAATTGTTTATTTACAATAAAAAACGATGTTCTTATTATCGTAGACAGTTGACCCAAAGTTTATTAGAAAGGGACTTTTATGAGGATTCAAAAACCATTTGAAAATTACTTGGATCGTAATTAGCATAAAAGTTATCAGTTTTTTTGTGCCGCGCTGCGTGTCTCTAGCGTTAGCGCGCAGATTGTCTTTTGTTCAAAAAGTATAGAAACTTGCAAATATCTCGAAAAGAACGAACTTTCGTAAAAAATGTCCAAGACAAAAGTTGTTCCGGTTCCCAAATAGCACAACTATTTACAGCAATTTTGCAGTAAGTTTGCAATGCCAAGTTTGCAAAATTGCACTGCAAAATTGCTGCAAATTTGTGGCAAATAGCGATATGTCCTCCCTTTTCCAACTTTGCATTATAAGTTTGCAGGAAAATTTTTCAGAAAGTTTGCAGAAAAATTTCTTTGGTAGTTTGCAGAAAAATTTTTAGGAAGTTTGCAGAAAATTTTTATGTCAAACTTGAAGAAAACTTGCTAATTATTTGCTCAAGTTCATGTCATGCGCAGTAGTTATCTATGGCACCTAGGGCTGCGCAATAGATTTTAGTGGCCTTTTCCAAAAGAAAGTTATCTAGTAACAAAATATTATCATATTTACAACTCAAAAATTAAAAATTTTTTTTCTAAAAATTTCTGCAAGTTTTCTTCAAGTTTGACATAAAATTTTTCTGCAAACTACCAAAGAAATTTTTCTGCAAACTTTCTGAAAAATTATCCTGCAAACTTATAATGCAAAGTTAAAAGGGAGGACATATCGCTATTTGCCACAAATTTGCAGCAATTTTGCAGTGCAATTTTGCAAATTTGGCATTGCAAACTTGCTGCTAAATTGCTGTAAATAGTTGTGCTATTTGGGTTGGAAAAATTATTAAAAAGATTTACAAGTAGCGGAAATAATGTTACTTTGGGACTGTTCACAAAATACGTAACGCTTCCAGGGGGGGTCAAGCTATTTGTTACGGTCAGCCAAAAAAATGGCGCTAATGTATGTAACTGTGCGTTACATGGGGGGAGGGGGGGTTTAAATTTCCAAAAAAAGCGTTACGTATTTTGTGAACAGCCCCTTTGTAACAGCAGCATACTTAATAAAACTTAAAATGAAAACTGTATTTTTGGTTATATTTTCTTCGAGAGTGTTTTTTTTCGTCTCGAATCTCGATTGTGTTAGTCTTCATACCACCCGACGATATGACAAAGTATCCTTATTTGCGCTACATGTAAATCTTTTTAGTATTTTTTCCTACTGGCGGTCTCTCTGTGTACAGTGAATAAAGTAGTTTTTTTTCAAATAAGACCACTAATTTCCATTATCAATTTGGTAATCCTCATGAAATTCTGCGTTCACTCATGTGGTTCAAATGCCCAAAATATTGGTAAGACTCCTTGGCCCAATATTTTGGTCCTGTACTTCACACGTCTAAACACAGAATTTCATGGGGATTACGCATTTCATACTGAAAATTTGTGGATCTCGTTAATCCCTTGACGTCTATAGACGTACTTTCCAAGGTCGACTCTCACTGTTAGATACGTCTATACACGTACTTACAAAAAAGTTTAAAAAAAAATTAGCAGATACACACTGACGTTATTTAACGTATTTTGAACGCTAAATTCGAATTTGCTGTCAAAATTTAAAAATTCGATAAACGCTCGTCTTTTGTTTCTATATTTCACATCAATCCACTTTTCCGTAAAATAGTTTCATTATTATGTACTACACTTTTGTAAATTTTAAAATGTGACTGCGTCTTTCAAGCGCTTGTCATTTGTTTTTGTATTTCGTGTGTTAGTTACCAACATCAATCTACTTTCATTTTCTTTCTATCACAAATTCTATTTTATAAAGTATTTTGGATACTATTTCGAAATGTCAAGAGCGTGGAAAAAACTAAATATTACAGATTCGGACTTTGAAGAGAATATTAGCAGTAGCGATGGTTTATTAATAAGTGGATCGGATTGTCAGGATGAAAGTGTTAATAATGATGATTTAGAAAATTCTATTCCATACACTGATGGAGTAATATATTCATGTGAAGAATTTGACGTACCTTTAAGTACACGTCAATCAAAGTTACGAACTGATTTTCAATGGACTGAAAAAGATGTGTTTAATCCTCTTAAACATCATTTTAACGACGATAATCATGGTGTGCAGCCATCTTCTGAATTGACATCTAAAAGTTCTCCAGTTGAAATTTTCAAAACAATTTGGGACAAAAATCTTGTTGATATGATTTCCTCATAATCAAATGCATGCGCAGAGAGTAAAAAAGTAAATTTATGGAGGAAGCGAAATTGAAAAAAAACTTTCGTTTAATAAAATTTTCTCCTGTAGGGATTGAGGAAATGTATGCCTTTCATGCTCTTATAATTTTGATGGGTATAATCAAGAAACCAGAACTTTCGATCTACTGGACAACAGATCCTACTCTACAGACTCCAGCTTTTCAAAATTGTATGACGTACGACAGTTTTCGATTAATTCTACGCATGTTGCACTGTCAATTTGATTTCGATGATGATAATAATGATGCTTTGATCAAGATTCGTCCTGTTCTAGAACATTTATTGGAACAATATTAGGCTACTTACTGCCCAGGAGAAAATATTGCAATTGATGAATCCTTATTGCTTTGGAAAGGTTGCTTAAGGTTTAAACAATTCAATAGAAATAAACGAGCTAGATTCGTAATTAAATTGTACCAAACTTGTGAATTGAAAACTGGGCATTCCTGTAATATTAAAGTGTATATTGGAAAAGATGGAAACCATTCTTATGTTGATAAACCTATTGGCATTTCTCGCGAAGTAATCAAAGAGCTGTTATTAGACCATGTGGCGAGGAGGGGAATCAGGCGGTAGGTCCACCTACCTTTAGACTCCCCATTCCATCTCTCCTGCCATTTCTGAACGTGTCTACTTCTGGACTCTGCGTATTATCGCTTTGAGTCTATCGCTATGCTCTGAAGTACGCGCCAGATTATTGTTAAGATGGAAGATCTCCTTCCTTTCCATCGCTAATAGATCCATTGGCGGTAATTCAGCGAGTACCAGAACAGCGCAAGTAGACACCGTTCTGAAGGCTGACACAATTTTCCGTACCGGGTCTCTCTGGACCGCGAGGAGTCGGTCAGAGATGCTTTGGAGCTTTAGGGCCGAAGCCCAAACAGGGTCAGCATAAAGCTGCTTTGATTGAACCACAGTCGCCACTAGTCTACGTTTCTTTTCCCTGGGACCACCGATATTGGGCATCATCCTCGAAAGGTTTCCCATGCATTCGGTGGCTTGGAGTGACGAGATGTTAATATGTTGTCCAAAACTCAAACGTTTGTCCAACGTCACTCCCAGGTACTTCAGTTTTGTCCCCCATGAAATTACAGATCCTTCAATTTCCAACCGCGGGAATCGGAAGTCTCTCCGGTCTGTGACGAGCAGAGCCTCGGTTTTCTCGACAGCCATTTTCAGGGCATGTCGGTCCAACCAAAACTCTATTCGTCGCAGACTATCATCGAGTTTTATCTGTAAAAGATTTATCTCGTCCGCACAGCACAACAAAAGCACGTCATCCGCAAACCCGGTTAGAAACGTATCTTCCAGTAAGTCCAACTTCAGGAAACCGTCATACATGACGTTCCATATGGTTTTACGTTTCATCGCCTCAATACTAATATCCCATCTCGCGGAATTGAACGCGTTCCGTATGTCTATGGCTACGAGTACGCAAAATCCCTTCTTCTTCCCTGATTTGACTTTATTTGCCTTTTCAACAACCGCTAAAATCGCGTCTACCGTTGACCGGCCCTTCCTAAGGCCAAACTGGTTTTCGGATAAACTACTTTCGCCTACCAGGGTTCTCTGTAGTCTCTCCAGAATCATTCCCTCTAGAAGTTTACCCATCGTATCCAATAAACAAATTGGTCTAAACGATGAGACTTTATCTAGAGGTTTATCCCCCTTCCTGAGGATGACCTACTTCTGTGTTTTCCAGTCACTGAAAATCCTTCCACACTCCAGACATGTATTAAAGACGTCGAGAAGTAGCTCCGGATACACAGCGATAACTTCTTTAAGAATCTCGTTGGGTATTCCATCATTGCCTGGCGCTTTGCCATTTTTCAACGTCTTTGCCACCTTTTTAAGCTCTTCAAGTTTGAAGAGTTCTTCTCTCTGTACTACACAGTGAGTATATACCTCTCGGGGGCCAGATTCCACATGGGGAAACAAAGCACGTACGATTTTTCAGACCCAAATCCGATTGTCCAGACCGGGGGTTTTTTTGCCGCGAAACTAGTTTCTTAAAAACTACTCTAAAAACCAACCCCCATGGGTCATTTTCCGCTTTTCCGATCAGGTCCTTCCAACACTTTCATTGGCTACTCCTTATAGACCGCTTGAAGATCTACCTGGCATTATGCCACTCTTCTTGCAGCAGGAAGTCTCCCTTAGATTTTTCTCAGAGACTATAAACTCAATGTACTGGTGGTCGCTCATGGTCGTCTCGTCCAGAACGCTCTACTCTCTTATTCTACGAGCCACAGTTGTAGATATCTGTTAAACTATTTACTAGCTAATTACGGGGTTGGAATTTTACAGATATTTTTATTATTTAATATTTACATTATTGATTTTCGCCATATTTTATCCACTGTTTTTAATTTCTAAAATCTAAATTTGAATTTACATGACACTGAAAACTTTTGAGTAATAAGTTTTAAGTAAATTCGATTGCTTTTTAATTTTCCCTGTCCGACATTTAAAATTTTAAAAAACTAATAACAGATTTGTAATCAACGAATCATACTTTTTTAAGTGTACGTAAAAATAGTATCATTTTTTGGGTGTGTATGTCAACTTTTATATAAATCCGTTCACTTAGTTCTAAGATATTTATTTATTAACTTAAGACTACAAAAAACTTCAATTGTTTATAACTATAAGAAATTTAATTTTTTTTAAATCCTTAAAGGATTTGGATGGTGCACTTTGACTCTATTAATAAAATTTAATACTACTGTAGAAAGTTATCGTTTCCTTACAATATTTTTTTGTATAATCAAAAAATATACCGTCGAAACTGGATAAGCGAGAATTAAATGGAAAAACAATTATCTCTCACTTGTAGAGATTTCTCATTTATCCAGTTTCTTACTTACAAAGATCCACGGTCGATTTTTCTTGCTTATAAAGGTTTACAAATTAATAAAGGAGGGCCCATAAGCCATATATTTGGGCCATTTAGGATATTGATTGAAAAGATTGAAATGTATTTTTTACAAAGAAGAAGTATATTTTTGATGATTTAAGTTGAAACGGGGGAATTTCTGTCATATTAACCCTTTGATACGAAGGGTTTTTGGCGGACGAGTTTTGTAAAAAATTGTTGGATTCACTTGAATTTTGTTACTCGGAGGTTTTTTAGGGTTGGTGATAACGAATCTGAAGTCGGATTTTCAAAATTCCCGTTTCACCTTACATTATCAAAAATATATTTCTTCTTTGTAAAAACATACATTTCAATCATTCAAATCAATATCCAAAATGGCTCAAATATATATAATATATATAATATAATATATAATATATAATATATATAATATCAAAATGGCTCCTCCTCCTTTTTTATTTAAAATTAAACAGGGCAAAAGAATTATTGTACGTTCTATATATAATTTATTTGTAAATTTTAAATATATTTTAACAACTATTTATATAATAATTTATTTTATAACAAATAAAATATTACATTATTTTTGTTTAAAGAAATCTGTCATTTCTGATAAGCCTCTTGCTTTTTTCGAAAAGGTTTCTCTTTTATAGTCAAATCATCCTCATCTTCTTCCTCATTTTTGTCAGTAGTTGAATGAATATAATTGACCAAGATATCATCATCTGTGAGCTCTCTTGTCCCAAATACGTTTTTATACCCTTATAAAGTCTTCAAAAGTGGGTGTTTTGATTTTTATCCTGCAAGGTGTAATTTTTTTCAACTCCGTCACAAGGAACCTTGACATGAGCTGCAGCATGAAAATGCCATTTATCTACTATAACAAAATCTGTCAAATGAGCCAAAAGATTCGCGAAAAAATTTTTATTTTTAAAATGTTGCCTAGCACCATCCGTAAAAAGTACATCTTAGGATTAAAATTTGTTTTTAAATAATCGTACACAGGTCAACACTGAATTTGGTGTTGCAAATGTCACAGCTGTTTCTGATAGGTGGTTTCTTGCTGAACACGAATCCGTAAACGAAAAGTTTTTATCAGCTGTAGTTTTTGAGAAAAACGGGTTTAAATTGTCCAAAAATCGTGTTTTTGGCAAACTTTGAGTACCTTTAGCACTGAAACAAAAGTTCTTAAAACCTTCTATTTGGGCTTAAATTGAAGTTTAATGTTTTTACTTCAATCCCCAAAAAGCACATTTTGGTTTTCATCCTCGGCTTTTCTTCTCTTCGGGTATGAATTTTCTAATCCGCTGCCTTCAGGTGACACATCTCTTTTTTGGAGACTTTCGTTTTTTTAAAGACTGTCTTTCTTGGGACACTCTCGTTTTTTTGGTGATTTTTGCTTCTTTTGTGTTTTTGTTAAGTATGCTGGGCAAACTTCACCAACCACAAATTCAAAAATATATCAAAATTTTATAATAAGTAAAATTAAAATTGCTTAATTGGGAAAATAAGTCTGACACAAGCTGACACTCATAATATTGACAAATCAGTTTACCCAAAGGGTACAGCGACACGCAAAACACCGGCCGGATGAATCAAACAGCTGATCGACGAAAATGCTGCCAACAGTTTGCTCCGAAATTGTATATGTATATAGTTCACTTATTTGGTATATTCAATAAAATATTCGAACATCTGAACACATTCAGCACATTTAATCATAAATAAATATCCAGACACAAAGTTTAAGAACAGATTTAATTTGAGACACAAAAATTTTAAACTAAACAAAAGTGAGGAAACCTCACATTTAAACACAAACAGAACTATACAAGAAGACGGTCATAACCAGACTCCCCAGTAAAAAATTACCCAATTAGGATAAACATGCTAATTGATCAGCTAATCACAGCATACTCACAGTAACTCCTGATCACTGTCGCGCCGGTAGCATGCGCGCCAGCTATCGTCGACTAGAGCAAAATCAATTCAAATTCAAACTTTACGGAAAATTAAAATTTCTTAATATTTATTATATTTAGCGCTAAAATTAAAAAAATAAATAAAAAAGAACTTAATGTTGATAAGATGAAAACTTTTTCTATATATGCCCTAATTAATTTCAAGATCTTAATAAATCACTATAAAATTATTTATGTTAAATAAGATTCATGCCAAGTTTAATTTATAATCCTGTGAGTTTAATGGCAAATTAATTAAATCGAAATATATTTTTGTTTTTAGCATGGTCGCAGTAATGTGCCCAGAAGACAGTTGGGTTTCGAAGTGGCAAAGAATTAGTGAGTAATTTAAAATTTAATTTGATTATATTATAAAATTCTCAATCATGTTAATATCAGCATCAAAATTTAAGTTTCTTAAAAAAAAGTTAACCGAGCTAATATAAATGTTGTTTTATTTCTAAAATTTAAAAGAAAGATTGTTTTTTTAATTTGTATTTTTATTTGCATTCACTTCTTCAATTGCAATTATATAAAAGAATATTATTCAAATAATATAAACATTATCTCTAACTGAAATATTAACACTATTTTTTCTTTCAGTCATTTGTTTTGCTACTTTATCAAATGGAGAAAAAAATTAAAATTTTGGACGAGGGGATATTCACTGAAGGAAATCGTGATTTTTTGATTTTGGCATTAATAAAATATTTAAGAAATCTTATATTAGTAATTTGTAGAAATCTTAGGAAATCTCAATAGAAATCTCAATAGAAATCTCGGGAAATCCCGGCAGAAATCGTGGATTTCGTTCTTTTAACTGTGCAACTGATATTTGGCGAACGAACCCGAGCAATTCCGAAGTATTATTAACAGTTATTATTTATTAATTAAGCTTCAGCCTTTCGGCCAGAAGTGGACTTGGTTTAATACAAAATTAAATATATATATATATTAAAAATATAACAAACTTGTTGTTCACGCGACACCCATATCCAAACTTAACATGATTTAAAATTTTTGAGTTGCCTATTTTACAATCATCACAACGTATTATTGACAGTTTATTGACAACAAATCTTACTTTATATTAGTATTATAATTTGTATTGATATTATTTTTTTGTTATTATTATATTGATATATCCTCGGATCTATCGTAAATAAAAAATATTTAATTTATTTAACATACCGTTAACAAAAAGTTTTTAAATTATAACTTAAAATTACGTAAATATATAGATATTACTTTTTAAGGTTGTGTTGTATTCCTTGTCAAATTATAATTATAATCAATTTTCTAACATAAAAATAAGACAGTTATGTATAAAAACAAAGCACTGAAGTTTTTTTCTCTTATTACAAAATGAATTTTTGTATTATAATTACCCTATCGAAATAACGTGCCCCAAACGTGTTCTCAAACCGACTTTGTTTTGTAGAGCACTTTTAGAGCCTGATTAAAAAAAGAAACTAAAGTACGCCACGTTTATGATAAACGATTTTTATTTATTTATATGTACATTCCCCGCGGACATTCTTTTTAAAGAAATAATTTTTTAAAATGAAAAATTCTATAATTTTTTTCCAAAAAAATATTTCATGTAGTTTTTAATAATCAAAAAATTATAAAAAAATATTTTTTTAGGTAAACAATTTCATAATTTAACGTGTTAAATAAAAATTTATTTCTAATCGTTTATCATAAACGTTGCGTATTTCAGCATCGTATTAAAAAAATAATATAAATAAAAAGATTCCAAAAAATTAGTTTGGAAATATGCAATTTTAAAAAGCTCATGGTGCTTTGTTTTGACATATTTAAAACATTCAAAATCATGAATGGCCGTTTAATATCCGATTTTTACCGAGCTCATCCGAAGCTATATTTCAATAACTTAAATACATATAGGCAGTCACTGGAAATCTCTGATAATCGCGTAGAAATCGTAGAAATCTGTATAGAAATCTTCAGATGATTACCTCTACCGATTTCTGATTTCCTTAGTGAATATCCTCTCGATTTTGGAGGCATGTGTTCTAATCTCTTCAATTTATATTTATAATAAAATCAATCTTCAATTTTGTTTGTTGCAGGTAAATTTACAAAAGGTGTTTATGCTCTTTCTGTTTCCGGGACATTGCCTAGAGAAGCAATAAAAGATATGCGAAGTCAAGGAATAACATATAGAAATCGAGATACAAGTCAACGATGATTTTAAAAAATGTTTAAACTAATGATAAAATAATGCATTCCATGATAATGAATGTTTCTGACTATTCTGAAGAAGTATTTATTAAATTATTGATATCTTCATTTGCAGAAAAATTTCATATAAAATATTGTTTCATATTGTCAAACACCTCTGTGTCTACATACATTTTAAATCTGTAATCTAAAAACATATATATTCATAAATGTAGTTAATAAACATTTTATACATGCATTGAATTAAACAGTTAAATTACAATTCATTTTCACGTTGTAATGGTGGAATTTATCATCTATTAATAAAAATAAATGTGCACCGTCCACATTACTGCCGTGCAAAACTGAAAGACCGTAACTTCATATTTGAATTAGGTTATCTTAATTATTACATTTTCACTTCTATAAAAATAAAGAGATTAAAATTTCGATCAAATTTTGTTTTCTTAAGGTAGAAATAATTATTTATACCTGATATGGATCAAATTTTTCATAATTTCAATTTCTATATTCTTGCAGAAGGAAAAATGTAATGGTCAACATAACCAATTTGAAAAATGAAGTTACGGTTTTTCAGTTTTGCACGGCAGATTATTCGAACACTAACTTTTAATTACTCTGAATAACCAAAGGGAGATTCCCACCAAAGAAAAGTCACCCGTGCAATGGTGACTCAAAACAAGATTTAAAACAAGGAACAAACTCACCAACACTGAACACAACTATGACGAAGGCGACGTTGACTCGAACGACTTGATTCTTTGGAATACTCACAAAATAAACAATTAATAAATAAAATAATAATAAAATATTTTTAAAATGAAATTTCCTTTATTTGATTTATTTTTTGTAATATATTTCGGAAAAAAACATTTCTAATAACATATTCAGTAAATTAAGAATGAAATATATACAAGAAAATGTAGGGGAATAGTGTCAGGGTTGGACACAGTTTTGGTTTTTTGTTTATAAATATTTTGTTTAGATAAATTCAGTCAATTGTGGTATATGGGTGGAAAGATCTACAAAAGAGGAACACTTTTGCTGTGGACCGTAAATTGATTGGTCCAAAATTAAAAAAGTTATAAACATTTAAAAAAAAAATCTAGTCAGGGTTGGACTTTTCAGTCAGGGTTGGACACTTTTTGAAAATCGAAACGCATTATTGGTAAAAACGTAAAATAACATTTGTAATGTTTTTTATTCTTATTTTTTCATGTTTATCTTTACTTATTGTTTACAAATTGTAAAGCTTCATGGGTTTAAAAAAGGAATGAACTCAAATTATAAAAAATAACGCTTTATTGTTCCAAATAACTCAATGAAATGATGAACAAAATTTATACAATTTAAGTATTATTTTTCTAATATCTTTGGCACAATTTTGCACTGAAATATCAATAAAATAAAATTTATTTATAAATTGTGTCAAATTCATAATTAATATGGGTGTCCAACCCTAACTAGAAGCATCATTTTCGAATTGTGCTAACCATAACTAGACATGTGTCGCGATTCGATTTTTCACTTTTTTTCTTCTTAAATTATGTACCCCACAATACATTCAATAAGCTTATCTTGTCGAATTCTTGCTTTTTTTACACATTTTTTAGGTTTATTCACAAGTCAAACAAAACTTTTTTTGTCTCTTCGATTGCACCGAAGTCACAAGAGACGCTACTTTTGATTCTCCAAAAATGTAATGCCACAAAAAGTTAGGTTATACTACTAGAAGATTCGTCACGTACGCACACAGGTGGCGCTAGTGTTCTTATTTAAAAAAAGCCAAGTGTCCAACCCTGACAAGTGTCCAACCCTGACACTATTCCCCTACATGTTCTTGTGCAAATCAAAATCAATCGGTAGATGTGTCAATTGTAAAATATAAAGGTAGGAAACTATGAAATATTATTAAGTCGCTAAACCAATTAAAAGAGGTTACAAAATTTAGGTTCGTGCTGATAGTTAATTTTAGATTAACCACACCGAGAAAAAAGATTTCTTTGATTCAAAGAAATCAATTACTTTGACAAATTTTTCTTCGATACAAAGAAAATTTATTTGTTTCAAACAAATTATCTTTGATTAAAAAAACATTATCTTCGTTTCAAAACAATTTGTTATTTAATTCAAATAAATGTTTCTTTGACCCTATACTAATGTTAGAATTTCTTCAATTTAATGCACAAATTTCTTTCATTCAAAGAAATTTTCTTTAAATAAAAGAAGCTTTTTTTGTTTCAAAGAAAATTTTATTTTCAGTGAAAGAAAACAAGTCAAAGAAACTGGTTTCTTTAAATCAAAGAAATCTTTTCTCTGTGTGCATAGTAGATGGTTGCCGCTAGTAGATTATGCCGCTAAAAAAGATAGGAAAAGTTTGCTAAAAACTTGACAGGTTTTATGTGATTCGTACAGAAAGTTAATTAGTTCAAAAAATTTTGTTGAACCTATAAAAGTGCAAAAGCAGATTACTTCACCTAAAGACAAAGAAAAAAATATTTCATTTATTAGTGATTCAAGCTCTGAAAGAGATCAAAATGATTTTTTTAATTTTGAAACAACACATAAAACTTCAAAAAGAAGAAAAGTAGATGACTTTTTAGCTCATATCGTTCAGCCACAATCTTATTGCCCACCAAAGAGAATATAGAGTATGTATTACTAGAAATATTGTCACACATTATTTTTGCAATCAAACAAATTTTTCATATTTATATTATAAAAATTATTTAAATGTATAAACCCTTATAAAAACTTTACAACACCTTCAAGAGACTTTTTTAGATTTGAAACCTATATTCTACTTTATCTTTTTTGTTGTCAACTTTACTAAATTTAATTTCTATTAATCTGTTATGTATGTGTTTTTCACAAAAGTTAATTTATTCCTGTGTGATTTATTATTTTAGTGTTGAATATCATTAAAATAATTTAATTTGACCTAAAAGTTCTAAAACACAATTTAATAATAAATAATATACGATGTAATATTACGCTGACTAATAGAAACTAATTAAAGTCCCGTTTTTTAATGTGTTTAATTGTGAGGTGAATTATAAAAGAGAATTATTATTCAAGCTGAACAAATTAATAATATTCTAAAATTCTACTTTTTAATTTTCATAAACAATAACGGACTTAAAGGAATTTAATACTAAGTCAGTACAGAAACAAGACAGAAGAGCTATTACAAAAAACTATAAATATACGTGGAGCAACGTCTTCAGTATAGGTCATACAGTTACCAAAACATGAATGAGTTCACACGTCTATCGAATGTAATACATATTTTATTATTCAGAAATGTCCACAAAACTCTCTTTTCCATCGATCTTAAAATTGGAGGTACAATTTTAATTTTAAAAAAATATAATTCTTTTAACTTTCATATTATATTTAACATTCTTTTCGCATCATTAACATTAGAATTTTAGTGTAATGAAACAAAATATGTATTCCTTTCTGCTGTGTTTTTAATATAAATCAACTTCATCGTTTCTATTAGAAATTACATTAAATATTGTTTTATTTTATTTTACATCCTCATTGTATTTTCTTTATAATAATAAATATATATATATATATATATTTACACCATAAGCTTAAAAATATTGATATTAAATTAAAATAAATAAATAGGGTAAATGTACTAATTACGGCGCGATTCGAGTCAAAACATCTTTGAAATAGAAAATTCGACATTTCTATTGTATAAAGTCAATTTAAGACTTATTAAACTAAAAGGTTATGTTATTTAGATATTACAAAAGAATTTTAACTTTATAAATATTGATTATTTAAACAAATATGACAAATTAAAACTAATACCGTAATTACGTCCGTCCAGCTAGCACCTCCACAAGCATTAATCAAAAAATCAAATATGCTAGAATTATGTGCTAATTTTGTGCCTAATTAGAAAATTTTGTGCTCATCAAGAAATTTTTTTTTATTTTTAAGGATGAGGTGCTAGAAAGACGTAAGCTAGCACCTCACCTATAGTAAAATAACAGCAATCAAAAAAACTACAATGCCAAAATTTTGTGCTCTTTATGTGTTTTTCAATAACAACAGAAACACCAACCTTAAAAAAAACGTTACAATAAAATTTGATTTTCATTCTTTTGAATAAATAATATTGTCAACCAACATAACATTTACACAAATTTCGTATTCTCAAATTTTGTGCTCCTAACCTCTTACTCAAAAACCACCCCCAATTCTAATATTGAACTCTAAACTCAAAAATTTGATTTTCATTCTTTTCAGTAAATAATATTGTCAACCAACATAACATTTACACAAATTTTGTGCTCCTAACCTCTTACTCAAAAACCACCCCCATTTCTAATATTGAACTCTAAACACATACAAATTAGAATTTCATTCTTTTCAGTGAATAATAGTGTCAACCAACCTAATGTTGACTCAAATTTCATGTTCCCGAATTTTGTGCTTCTAACCTCTTACTGAAAAACCACCCTCATTTCTAATCTTGCACAGTAAACTCATAAAAAATAGAATTTCATTCTTTTGTGTAAATAATAGTGTAAACCAACATATAACATTTACTTAAATTTCGTATTCTCAAATTTTGTGCTCCTAACCTCTTACTAAAAAACCTCCCCCATTTCTAATATTGAACTCTAAACACATAAAATCGTGATTTTGATTCTTCGGCGGGAATATTATTCACTCAAATAATATTCACACTATTATTCACTCAAATGAATGAAATTCTATTTTTTATGTGTTTAGAGTTTAATATTAGAAATGGAGGTAGTTTTTGAGTAAGAGGTTAGAAGCACAAAATTGAGAATACGAAATTTAAGTAAATGTTATGTTGGTTTACACTATTATTTACTCAAAAGAATGAAATTTTAGTTTTTATGAGTTTAGAGTTCAATATTAGAATTGGGGGTTGTTTTTGAGTAAGTGGTTAGGAGCACAAAATTTGAGAATACGAAATTTGTGTAAATGTTATGTTGGTTGACAATATTATTTATTCAAAAGAATGAAAATCAAATTTTTATGAGTTTAGAGTTGAATTTTAGAAAGAGGGTGTTTTTTGAGAAAGAAGTTAGGAAATTTGAGTAAATATTATGTACTTTGACAATTTTTTTTACTCAAATGGATCAAAATCTAAATTTTATTGTAAAGTTTTTTTAGGGTTGGTGTTTTTGTTGTCATTGAAAAGCACATAAAGAGCACAAAATTTTGGTGTTGTAGTTTTTTTGATTGCTGTTATTTTACTACGTCTTGCTAGCACCTCATCCTTAAAAGTAAAAAAAAAAATTATTTCTTGATGAGCACAAAATTTTTTAATTATGCACAAATTTAGCACATAATTCTAGCATATTTGATTTTTTGATTAATGCTTGCCTACTGTAATTGAAGCCAATGGAACTATTATGTTTCAATTACGGCGAGGGAAAAAATTTGATTTCTAATAATTAAATTAATAATTGTTTAAATGTGCATCTTATTAATTTATTAGTAATTGTATCAAAGAAAGATTAAAATAATTTTTTTAATCATTTTGCAACAGTTATATTAAATATAATAGTAATAATAGGTATTTTTTATAAACGCGCAGTAATTGATGCACTCGCCGTAAATTATGCACTTACTCTATAAAAGAAATAATTTTATTTAATTTATAATATTAAATAGGCAGTGAAAGCAAGGAATATTTTATTAATTTTTATGAAATAAAAGAATGATTTCTTTCAAAGTTATTAAAAATATTAATTTTAATTAATAATGCTTAAATTTGATTGAAAATAAAACTACTTTCCATTATTTAGAATAAACGACCTTTATTTAAAATTTTTTATGAATTTTATTAAACGTAACTATAATCTAAATTACTTGAATTCCTTCAAAAAGAAGTATTTTAAAATGACAAAATTAGTTTAAAAAATACACTTTTTTGATAAGGTCATAACATCATGTGGTTGTCAAGTCACGCCCCCACAGCACCGAAACTTTCCTAAAGATTTATTTGAAATGTTCGGAATATTTAATTGCAATGTTTAGTGAAAATTGTGTAAAGATTTAAATGTCCCACTTGAATAAATGTTTAACGCGCAAATTTCCTGAACATTTAAATGAAATTATAATTATAATAATTAGGCGAAAATTTCATTTAAATGTTCAGGAAAGTTTCGCGTTAAACATTTATTCAAGTGGGACATTTAAATCTTTACACAATTTTCACTAAACATTGCAATTAAATATTCCGAACATTTCAAATAAATCTTTAGGAAATCTTTAGGAAAGTTTCTGTGCTGTGGGAACGTAATCGCTACAATGTTAATTTTTTCGTCACTTTTCTCGTAAAATACTAAATGTATTGAGGTAAGATTTTTATAGAAATCTAAAATATGCTAGGGCCTTACAGCATCCGGATATTCAATGGATATATGTACACTGGAATCTGGATATGTGAGACTTGTTTATACTTAGTTTGTGGGCGAGGAAAGGTGGGAGGCGTAGCGGGGACTAAATGTCAACCAATCCCGTGAGCGAACGATCCACTTGATCGGTGAGAAGCCATCCCCGAAGAGTCTCACCGATCCAGATTCCAATGTATATTTCCATATAAAAGCACACTGGAATTTCGGATAGGATTATGGGTGTAAAAAACCATATGAATCCCCTTATGGACTCCCATGTAAAATTTACTATGCAACAGTGCCATTGAGAGAAGTTTAATGGAACATCTGATGAATTTTTTGAGGGACAGATATTGTACCTCGATCATGTGCAGACGCAGTTCTAAAATCGAACTGCAGAAGCGCCAATCGAGTACGGATTCTGAAATAACTTGTGGGACAAAAAATTTAAAATATATTGTATAGAAATATTAAAGAATTCTTTATAACTTAATAAGTGGTTTTCTACTCTCTAAATCTTACTGACGAAACCAGCCGAAGTTTGACTGATACAATCATCGAAATAAGAATTTCACTGATTTAATTAGTGACTATTTGCTAATACCCAGCTGCATACTCTGGGCTTATTAAAATAGCGACTATTCGCTAGTAATCATCGAATTTTCACTAATTTAAATTTAGAGAGTAGTTACTAATTATAACTATTTCCTATAAATGAAGAGCTCCACGGAGTAACGATCTATAGCATAATTGGAAAGTTTGGTTATAGGAGCTAAAAACGGATACCCGTTTTTTGAAAGCTCCTATAACCAAACTTTCCAATTGTGCTATAGGGTAACCGGACAGAACATCTAAACCAAAAAAACCAAGCCAAAAAATAAAAAAAAAATAGATTCACTTTGGATTTTTTTAATACTTTTTTGTTCGTATACGTAAATTTTCATAAAATTGGTAATAACTATATATAAATTGTTATTTATCACACAGTTACATAACTATATTACTAATTCTATTAGTAATATTACATACAGTTGTTATTAATTTAATGAAAATTTACGTTTTTTGAAAGCTCATAACCAAACTTTTCAATTGTGCCGTAGATCGTTATTCGATGGAGCTCATCAAATACTGTATATGTTCACGAAAAATTCTTGAACTGTATTCAATTTATTCGGGAGTTGGAATGCGCGTGGTGTTTCTGCGCAGATATCGATTACTTGTCATATGTTTTCCTGAGATTCTGTCTGGATATTTAATTTGTATTTATAATTTATTAAATTCTATTATAAACATTTTAAAATACATGTTGTCTTAAAAATTGACCGCTAACATTTTTTAAAAATATTTCTTATAATATATGTTTATATATGTTGAAGTATTGCCTATTAAAAATCCCTGTACAAGATCTTGAAAAACTGAACCAGTTTTACCCATACGTGGAAAGATTCCTAGGAAAGTGCTCCAGAGAATTTCTGCTGGAATGCTTATTGGAAATTCCGTCGGAAATTCCCAAGAGCACTTTCCTAGGAACCTTTCCACGTGGGTGGTGAGAACATGTACAAGAAAATATACAATAGAATTTGGAATAAGTTCTTGTAGCAGAACTTGTACAAAATCTTGAACAAGAAAATATATTTAATATTTGTATACAAGAAAATGTACATGTTCTTGAACAAGTTCATTTTAAATTTTTTTTAAATTTGAGATTTTAATAGTTCATAATCATTAAAACTCTTCACTTATGCATGCTAAAAATTTTCTTGTGTAAGATCTTGTACAAGTATTCTGATACAAGAACTTGTTCCAAATTCTGTTGCCGAAATTGTACATTTTCTTGTAGGTACATGTTTTCACCAGAACGGGTACAAGTTCAGCTGCTGAACATGCGTACATTTTCTTGTACAGCTTGTGCAAGATCTGGTACAGGGATTTTCAATAGGGTTAAGTACATATATATGTATTATTTGGATGATTCTCTGCGTAGCTTACAATTTAGTTATTGCTATTATATAATTTTTTTACAATTTAACAAAAATTAAATTATAATCATCAAAGTTAGTATTTCCCCGGTAAGAAGACTTACATTAAAATGTATTGAAAAATTTCACCACTCCATTGTTATTTACTACAAAGTAAATACTTTTGAATTCCGTTTTTGTCTACACATTTGAATTCTCGAGATAAAAGACATTTCTCATAAAATTAAATTCTTTTCTATTCCATTCAGTGAATAAAATTTTAGCTAGGTTTTGTGAAAACTTTTTAATACCGAAAATTAATATTAAAGTAATAATACTTTAATTTCATTTAATGCAATCCACTTTATTATTTTTTATTTATTATTTAAAGCATAATTTTACACTTTAGAACATTGGAAAACATTAAAATGATAATTTTATGTTGCCTAAATTGTTTTTCTATTAAAAAAAATTGTTGTTGAATTACTTTTACAAATATTTTTCTTAATTTTTTTATTTTTGAACTTTACAGTCTTTAACTAAAACAAATAATTTGCAATTACGAGATTCATTATAAAAGATGGATTTTTCATTTATACACTTTTTTTTAGTAATCTACAACAGTTATAACAAAATTTTTATATTAAATATTAACTGAGGTTATGTTCCAGTTTCTAGAGTCATAGAAATAAGGAATTCAACTTTAATTTTTTCGATACCTCTCTGGAGAATTAAATACAATGGACAAAAAAGAAATTCTATCTACTTATATATTGATAAAAAGAATTATAATAATTATTATTACTGTTAATTAATTATACATATAAAAAATTCAATAATATTATTATTTTACTTTAGGTTTGCGATACTAATATCAGGATATTCTGATTGTAATATTGTCAGTTATCCAGGAAGTACACTCATCATAGCTTTGTATGGGAGAATATTAATCTTTTGCATCAACGGCAAACTTATATTGTGATAGGTCAGTATTGAATTAGATTTTCAAAATTAAAAATGGCGGATCCAATATGGCAGATTTTTTAAAAGTTCATTGGATTTTAAACTTGACATACATAACCTTAAAATTGAGGCACTATAAATCAAGAAAAAAAATTATGTATATGTAAAACGTAATTTAAAAACAGGTACATCAATCAATTAGAAATAGAAACACAAAATTTTTTTCAATTTCGCTTCCTCAGAGGCCTTAAATTATAGGTTTCACAGAAGACATAAAATGAGGGTATATATTTTGAGCCCGTTTAATTAAGTCTAATTATTATATTTTTTTCGCGTTTTTATTTTTTGAAAAAAAAATGTTTTGCCCCATATATTTAAAAAATGTTTTTTTGTGGATGTATTGATTTCAATCATAGTCTTATTTTCAAAATTCAAAATAGCGGACATATTTTATTCCTCGAATTTGTATGAAACTTTTTGTCTGGGGTCTGAGGGTCGCTAATTACGAATTTGATATCAGATTTTAAAAATATAAAATGACGGATAAAATATAGTAAAGAGTTTTAAGTAAATTTGATGAATTTAAAAAAGTCCGACATATTCGATTCGATATTTTTAATTTCGAAAATCTGAGGACAGATTCAAAATCAGCGACCACAAAAACCTTGAAGTAACAAGTTTCAAAAAAATCTGAGCAATTTTTTAAAATTCTTCTATCATATTGGATCTACCATTTTACATTTTGAAAATATGATGTCAGATTCGTAATCAGCTATAGGAATCCTTCTGAAATGGCTTTGATGACGCAAAGGGTTATAAATTATCTTAGAATGACCTAAAGTTTATTATTGAAATTGAACATGTTGTGATTAAATATATTATAATTTCAGCAACATAAAAAAATTTAAATTCGTTAAATTATATAAATATTAAATATAAAATATAAATGTTAAATATAAATAAAAAATGTATTTTTAAATAATTGAAATATTTTTTTAAATTTGAAGAATTTTTGCATCTGCATATTAAAATAATTATATATCGTCAAAAATTTTTATAATGTGAGAAGGCATATTTTTTTGTCGTAGAAATTTTTTTCAATTACTCTTAGTGAAGACGATATGATTTTAAAATAAAGAAAAAGTAATATTAAATTCATTAAAGTGTTATTTTTTTATGATCTGCTGAACCATCTCAAAATCTACTTCGATTACTTGTATAAGCGACTATTATGGACAAAGACTCGTATGACTGACGAAGCAACCCTCGCATTTCTTGCGCAATCGTTGCCCCTCGAGTTTGCGCTTTGAATACTTTATGGGGCGGCTCCTGTTGTGTGTTCGTCGCGTAAAACCGGCTTCGTATATAGTGTTTTAAGCATTTTTCTCATAAAAAATCTTGGAAAAATTAATCTTGCAAGGAATTCCGTGAGTTTTGTGCTCTGGGGAACTAAACTCGACAAATGTCGAGATGGTGACTGACAGCACTAGCCAGGTACGCTAGTTTTTTCATTTTTAATACATTTGAAATCAGATATTCTTAACTAGCCGGTTGTCTGTATCACCACGCCGATCGAATTAGGGTTGAAATGGAATGAAGTGAACTAAAATAACAATTGTTGATCAATTCTTATAAACAGTATTGCATGTATATTACTTCTCACTATATATAGGTATATTTTATTTTCTTAGATTGAAAAATAAAAGCATGAAGGGTGAAAACCCTTGCTAAAGATTGGTTCAATAAATATAGTTTTTGTATCAAAGTAAATTGGAAACAACATTTTTTTTTCGTTTGATGTAAAAAATTAGATATTCATTATACCTCTGGTTTCAATAAAATTTGAATAGCAATTTTAATTTTACCAATTTTGCCCCCTATTGCATACTCTCTAAATCTAAAGTAGTAAAAAATTAAGTCATTAATTAATTTAAAAATGAAAAAATTTTACTTATTTTAAGTTGAATTTCACTGTTTCATTCAGTAGCTGTTAAATATTTTAAACAAAAATTTAAATAAAAAATTACTTATTATTAGAAGAAATACTCATATTTTGATTTAAAATTAAAAATTTTCTTTTTGACAAATATTTTCATATAAAATTTTTTCTGCGTCTAAAACTGTTTATTGTGTTTCTTGCCTAAAAGCTTAATCTCTTAATATTTCAATTTATAAAAATTAAAATCTTTCCCCTACAAGTGTTAATATAATAATTATAGAATCAAGGTAACTTATTTACGTCACTTAAGTAGTTAATAATAACTGTCCGGCTATGACATATTGCTTAGTATTGAGCAATAATTGTAATTTAAAATTTGTCAGGTTACAGAGAAATTAATTCTATGATGGATTAAAAACTGATCTTTGGTAAAAAGAAAACTATTTCAGTAAATTTACAAATATAAATGGTTTTTAAAAAAATGTTGTGCTATTTATTGAATTGACATTTAAAGTGGAATGGTTGGGATAAATTAAGATTGGTTTGTTAATAAATTTATAAATGAATTAAAGATTAGTTTAAAAACTAATCGAAATAAATAAATAAGTAGTTTTCTAATCTACTGCAATATACTAAAATATTTAGGAAATTTTTGTTTCTGTCTGTCAAAATTAGGGTAACGGGTACAATGACCGATATCCTTATATAAAAAATTATAAGTTGATTCATGATTAAAGCGTATTTATTATAAATTTGTTTTTAATAATATTTTAGATATATTAAATATCTATATTCTTTATATTAATAAAGTTAATAATTTATATTAAATAATAATATTTAATATTATATTAAAAATATTTTGTCTAAACTAAATGCAAGACACATTTTTCAGTACACATTATTCAATTTATTCGTCAATAAATACTTTATTTATTAAATATTATCAGTATTGTATATCTTTTATAACAAAAAGTTCTTTCAAAAATTTTAAATTAAATTAATTTGATATTTTACCCACATAGCACGATATATTATTATATATTATAGTATAAATATTTAATAATATTGAAATAATAATTAGATGTTCCAACGGCAATGGATTATTTAAAAAATTTCCCGTCTACTAGTACTTTTCTAGTTTTCTTTTTATCATTTACGTTTTTTCTAATAGAAATGGATTTTTCAATCTTCTTTCCAAATTTTTCACTTTTTACTAAATGTACGATTTAGACGTTTCTTTATGAGACCCTCACAGCACCGGATATTTAAGGATATCCTAAGTATATCCTAGGGATATCCAAACTGCCGCAAGAAAATGGATATCCTGAGAATGTCCCAGAGTTATCCTTAAATATCTGGTGCTGTGAGGGGATATGAACTTGAAATTTTGGTAACTCTAAATTTGAATTGGAATAAGTTATAACTAATTTTAATTTTTACTAATAATTGAGATTTAGAGAGTAGTTGAGTATTTTTTGAGGTAGAATCCGAATATAAAAAAGTCTAATTAGTAACCTTTTACCAACAATTAACCCTCTTAACAAAATTGAATGTTTTTTTAAAATTATAGTTTGAGTCGTTTTTAAGTAATTTAAATAGGTACTTTAGTAAAAAGAAATCTCATGCGAACTGATTCAAATAACTATAAAGTCAATATTTTAATTATTTAAAATATTTTTTTAACTTTCATACTTTTTATATAAACTTTAGTTACAACTAAATTCTTTAATTATAATTTTAATTATAAATAAAAAATATCTCTCAGCATAGATGAAGAATAATTATTTGTAGAAAAACAATATAGAATTTGTCAAAATTCATGTCCTATATACGAGGTACCTATCTAATAATCTCTTAGAATCTACTTTAATTTTCCTAAATCCATCTTAAGTCTACTCTACTATTAAAAATTAATTCTTAAATCTACTATTATATTGCAGCATTTGAAATATTGTAATGAAATGTTGCAGTAATGTTCAAGGAACATTGCTGTGTCCGACTCAAGGAATATTCTAAAGTAATATTCCAGAAATATCATAAAAAAATTTTCAGTGAAAATTTGTAAACGAAAATAGTAATCATAATAATAATTAAAATAGATAAAAATAGAAACTCATAATAAAAATTAAATAAACTTTTAAAAAAATTTTACATGTGATTAAATTTATTTTTTTCAAAAACTTCCAATTAATCTCTTATTTAAATTTAATTTCTCTTTATTATCCCTTTTGACGAATGATCTTTCAGTATAGATATCTCTTTCATTTCATTCAATAATTGCAAATACAAAAATTATTTTTTTAGTAATCTAATTAAATAAACAATGAAAGTTAAAAAAAATTAATTAAAAAATAGGAATTCAAAGGTTAATTAATGAAGTGATTAAAGTAAATCATTTAAATGAATTATTTTAAATTTATTTTGAAAACTTTCATGTTTTAGGGGAGAGGGCCCCAAGATGGACATAGTTTTGATTTTTTGCTCTAGAATCCAAACGTTTTAAGATATATAAAAATGGTGCATACCGTATGAAAGTACAATAAATAAGGTATCCTTTGGCCATAAAGAAAAAATTTTAATTTGAAAACAAACATTTTTTAAAGAATTTTTTCAAATTGTTGTAAATTTCGATTTGAAAAAAGCGGCACCAAGATGGACACCTTCATAAAATGCATTATATAAAACGGGTAAAATAAAAATAAAATATCAAGTAAAGATTTTTAAATCAACTTTCTGTTTCTTTATTATATTTTTTAAATGTTAAAAATTAAATAATATTGTAAGAAAATTAATTTTAACGAGAATAATTTAATTAAATTAATTTATTTAATTTATCCAATCCAATTTATTTAATTTATAATGTATTTAATAAGAGATTAGTTATTTTATAATTAATTAAAAGAAATTAACAATAAATCCAGCTATAAGCTGAATTGTCTGAATCACAATTTGGAAATTTGTACCAGGGTCCGCAGATTTTGGCGCACTTTAAGTGCACTTCTCTCTGACAGATTTCAATTCTCTATTGATAACAACACAATTTTGAAGTAGAAAAAGAAAAAATTTCAATTATAAACTAAATC